TGCAAATTAACCTTTAACAGTCTCAAAGGAACAGCACTTTCAGCCCCTGCAGATTCTTTGCAGCGACTTCTTGATGAGTTTTAATCACAGCCTTTTTCTGTAGATGAGGAAGGTCATCTGAAGAAGGTGAATAGAAATTCACTGACATTTTAGGAATTGTCCTCCTCTTACAGCCACAGTGTAAAGCTATAACATATGAAATATGTTACAACTTAGGTCTCACCATTGTCTGAGTCATTTTCTTAGGCTCTTTCTCTTTAAACTGGATTTTTATAAGACTAATTCAGTGTCCAAGAGCTTTGTGACAGTGCTGTGGGACCCTGTAAGCTTCTCCTGTAATGCCTGCCTGATTTCAAGGCTGTTCTAACAGTGAGAGTCAAACCCCCCTCATTCTTTTCATTCCTTCTGTGCTGGTGTTACAGAGACTCAAAGGTGCAGATAGTGTCAAATGGTTATTCCATGAAAAGAACAACTGCAGTGCAGCTTTCTGTCCCACTCATCAAATCTATTACCCAACCCCAGGGTGCCAATCTTCTTTCCAGTGATCTGTGCTCAGCAGCCACTTCAAAATCAACATTGTGCCATTCCCAAGGCACATCTGCCTCCTGCAGACCTTCTAGCATCTCTTCCAATTGTTTCTCTACCTCTGTGCTCACCTTTCTATGCAAGATCTTTCCTGGTGTCCCCTCTCATGCCCTTAGCTTTCTCTGCTCAGATCTCTCCTCCTTGCACTATCTTCCTGGATTTCATCACAGTTTCATTGGAATTCAGTATCTCTTTCAGATTTAATATTCTTATTCAGGTTGGATTTACTTGCTTGACATCCAAATAAGTCTGTGAGACCGAGAATTGGGAATGCCACAACTAACAGTGGATAATTATAATGATTCTTCCCCCTATCAAATGTCCCTATTCTTGGACATTTTTCTTAAAATCCACACAAGAACCCCTGTCCTTTCTTCAGAGTTTTTCCACAGTCATTCTGTTCACAACACCCTACCCCAAACCAGCAGTACAAAACTCACTAGGAAGACTGACTTTACTTTTCAGGAGCTTTTGCTTATTTGACATATTTACAGTTGCTTCCCATTTAGTTTTCTGAATTCATAACTTATTCTGTGTATCATGACCCATCAGTGGACCTTGTCTGCATTCCAGGTGATTGCAGCAGGAACCTTCCCCTCTGAGAGCAATACAAAATTATTCCAGAGAAACTCTAGTTCCCAGCACAAAGCCAGGGCAGTCCAGGAGTATGTGGACAAGGAATATCCCTAGTTAGCATGGAACAGCAGGAAAAACGGAATAAAACCAAGAAAGTTGTGAGACACACAGATTTCACATGACAAATGCTGAAAAATTCAGATTTGGGGTGATAAGATGCAAAGAGCTTTGTATAAGGGACTTTATTTATGATCTTGTTCCAACTCCCTGCCATGGGACACCTTGCACTAAGGCCAGATTTCTCCGAGCCCTGTCCAACCCTCTGGCACTTCCAGGGATCCAGGGGCAGCCACAGCTTCTCTGGGAAACCTGTGCCAGGGCCTCACCACCCTAACAAGAAAATTTCTTGCTGCAGTGCTCCAGCCAGTCCATGATTCCTGCTTGGGAGAGCCCAGGCAGTGCAGACAGGCTCTGTCAAAATAACTGCACTGCATCCAACCCTGGGGCCCCAGCACAGGAAGGACATTGACCTGTTGGAGCTTTAAAAAACAACATTACCACCTCTCCTCCCCAGCTAATTCCCTGAGAAAAGGAAAAGAAATAGCAGATATATTTAGAAGAATGTTACCACAGCAAAATCAGAAGTACGAAATTAGTGTATTTTAGGATGGCATTTGCCTAGGCAATCTGAAGTCAGCCCCTTGTGCATATTTATAAGGGTAGACACTGAAATCCTAATTTCCTGAAAGTCTGTGGGCTATTTGACATGGACTCCAGAGATGCCAGTATTTCACCCACGGCTTCACCTACACACTTGCAAATTTTAGATGTGAATTTTATCATGAGATCCTTTCATCTTTTACAGAGCTGTCTGAATGGAAGTCTTTTATTTTCCCCCTCTACACATGGTGTGTGGCCTAGTGTCTTATTTACTGCACACATATAAAGTCTACATTGAATACAGGATTTGAAATTTCTCATGTCTGTTTTTCATCACAAATCCTTATTGTTCTCCTGAGTCTTACATGTGCTGTGAAAGCATCTTTGGACTGTTTTTGTGAAGCATTTGCATTACACCAGTTCTGTTTTGTAGATTGGAACCAGCAGCACAGAGAAATACACAAAGAGTTGTCTAATGTCTAATAACTCTAAGCTCTGAATTATTCATAAGTCTGATTTATTCAGAAATTGTCAGTGCTTTATGTCTAGAGCAAAATTTGTGTTCATCTTAGTTTCTGTTAGGAGCTCTCACCATTTTTGCCAATCAAGCTCCATTTATTCTGAGTTACTTATCAGAGTTCACTCAGTTTAGTGGCCATCTAAAGTTTAATAGAATTGCCAAAACTGCCAAAGGACATAGAGCAGAAACCAGAAATCTGTCTTCATTCCCTCATCTGTGTAAGGGACTAACAAGATGCCCCAAAGAGCTAAACTCAAAGCCAGAGGGAGTTTGAATCTTCTTGTCCCACCTCACCCAGAAGTTTCCTGACTGCAAACCTACAATTGACTGAACTGGTGCCTAAGAAGATGCAAACACAACTTTAAAAATGCCACATCCAGATTCACTGTTTTCTGCATGGATGAAATATTCAGTAAACAGGAATGCTGTCAGTCAAATAAGGACTGGGCAACACATGTTAGCTGAAAAACGGGTGATGATGTTTGAGTTCAGCTATATATTAGGAATTAAGGATTTACTGATTTCACACTTGTTATTACAAGTCTTGAACCTAAGCCAAAAAAGGAAAGAAGCACTGAAAGAGATATCTCTGGGAAACTAAAGGCAGGATTCTAAAGCAGTGGTAGTAATTTGCTAAATGTGTGGTGTACTGAGGTTACAAAAGCTAACACAACCATTAATCCTGAGATTTCTCCATGAAGCACCTGTTTGCTATTAAGGATCAGGGACATCTAAAGCTTTTGGTTACAAAGTGGGGAGAATATTACCTGAAAACCACTACAAAAAGAAGCAAAAAGGTTTAATTAATGTAATATCAGGGTCAGTAATCCCTGAGGAGTGGACAAAGACAAAACAAAATAATCTTTGTGCTGGGATGCATTCATTGCACAAGTGCCTCACAAGTCATGGAAGGAAGCATCAATGTGAGCCAAGGGTTACTGCTCCTCAAACAAAGAGATGTTCAGGTTCCCAAAGCAAGTCTAAAATGATAAGACCCAAAACAGAATAGTGGGGCAGGGCTCTGGGACCCAAATGCCACTGGACCTCCTCAGATGACAGAACCATCCTACCTTTGCACTTACATTCAGGTGCTTGGAAGTACCAGCAGGAAAACATCTGGGAGAAAGTTTGTGCCCATAGTGAAGTGGGTGTAAGGGCATGCACTGAGTGCTCAGCCAAGGACGATTGGTGCAGCCGAAAGCCGGAGGGAAGCCCTCGCAAAGGTTACAGCGTTCTTGTGGTGACATTTTCAAATGCAAGCTCCACAGCCACACACCCTTCACATTCTGCAAAGGGCTGTGTCTTCCTGCAAAGCCTGCAGCAGAAGGAAGGGCACACAAACCCCAGGTGATCATAGCCTAGGGCAACATCTTATATTCAATTAATTTCCAAATCCGTTTCTGCAAACAGCCCTTCTGCAAGACCAGTGCAGGCTTTGCTTGGCACCATTAACTTCTGGATGTTGCTACTGTGGTTGCAAATCTTCAGGTTGTTCCTCAGCCCTTTATCCAGGTGAAATTCCCATTTAAATAGAAAGAAAGGTTTGCACCAAAAAAGATTAAATGAAGTAATCATAATTTTTGCTGCTGAAGACCCCATTTCCCAGCACCTGAGCTGCCTCTGTGATGTGAGCATCACTCCTCATTTCAGTTCCTGACTGACAGTGCTCACAGAGCTGCCAGACACAGGGCATCCACTGAGTTTACAGTTTGGTTTGGACATGGCTGAAAACAGTGACTGACTGCTCCTCTAAGTCTCCCTATTATTCCTGCTCCAAAATCAAAATTGAGAATATTTTTTTTGTTTTCATTGCAAAACATCCAGGTGATTTTTTTTTTCCTAAACTCCATGAGAACCTTCTGCCAATTCTTATTGACTGCTGTGAAGTCATCAGTCAGTGACAAAGTAAATGAAGCTACATTCCAAACCATGCTTTTTGTCATTTATATTGATATAATACAAATAATAATAAATAATAATAATAATTTCCATTTTAGTTTCCTTCATCATGTATTAGTGAACGAAAATAGCTAGCAAAAATTTAGGTCTGATTTCACCACAGAAAAGTAAAATAAGAAGAGACATTCAAAGAGACTTACTGGCTTTGTAAAAATAACAAAAGGAAAACTGATAAGCTCCTACCCCAGTTTCACTGTTCTTTTTGAAATGGAGGGCAAACCAGCTCTGGAATACACACACCTGAATACACACATCAGAACTGAACCATTATTCCATTATTCCATTACACAAACCAGTAACCTCCAAAAGCAGGGTGAAAGCAGAGATCAGGGACTCTTATCTCCAGTGCTCATCTGACAATGAGTAAAGAAAAAGATGTATTTTATACTTTACTGTTCCACTCTATTTAGATTCCACAGATTAATTTACAAGAACTTTATATCCAGATCACAGAATGCTCTGAGTTGGAAGGGAGCCACAAGGATCATCAAGCCCAACTCTAAAGTGAATGGCTTGTACCTCATACAGAGACTGAACCCACAAACTTGGGGTTATTTTCACCATGCTCTGACCAGCTGAGCCCATCTGAGGGGCTTCACTCAGAGATACAAAACAGAGGAAAGATGAAGCAGAAGCATTAAGACATCTACTGCAGTTAACATTAGTTCTTCCCAAATATTCTGGATTTTCACATCCTTACCTGCTGTAGCACTGGAGACTGTTGGCCACTGCTGGTCAGGCCCTGCTGGTCCTCCACGCAGGACTCCTGCCTCCTCCATATGCACAGCGCTGGGTAAGCAAATATCACAGTTGGATTATCCGGTTCCCTTCTGCCCTGGACTTCACAGCATTTCCCTTTCCTGCTATTCTTTAAAGTTCATAACTATTAATCACTGTGCAGCTACTCCTACAGTATTGCATGATGTTAGCAGAATGACAAGCAGCTGTTTTGGCTTGCAAAAAATACCTTTGATTATTTACTAAAACCCAGTTGTGGAATAACTTATAAAACAAACACACCTGCAGGACACCTTGCTCTCATTGACTGGGAGTCACTAATAAGTGACACATCTTTGCTATTAGGATGTAGCAACATTAGGCAAATGATTAAAAAGTGGGTGGGGTTAGTTCTGAGCTTCTATGTCATTATGCCATTTTAACAAACCCCACCTTCCTGGGTTACTGCACATTTCTCGTGAGTAATTCAGGAAGAGAAATGCATTTTCTTTAATGCAAAAACTAATACAGAAAATTTTACAGTGTCACATCATGAGCACTGGGCATCAAAAGCAGCAATTTGCACCTTACATGGAAGGAAAAGAAAAAATCTGCTATATTTTATGCAAAACTAACCATGATATTTGTATGCTGCTCCTTAAGAGAAACAGGATTCCATGGCTGTGTCCCTGTCTCTGCTCACTGGCTTCACACTCCCTTTCACACTTACAGCTGAAGTTAAGGGCCAGTTTCATCCAAATGTGGCAGACATCAAGGGCAACAAATTTCTACAAGTTTTGTGAAAAATCAGCATTTTATGAAAACCATCAGCTGGGCAGGGCACACAGGCTCAGAACATGAGATTTTGGGTAAGGACAGGGGCTGCTGATGTGAGAGAGCAGAGGAACACAAACAATTTCCCAGAAAGGCCCCATTAATCTTGTGGGATTAAAATAAACTCTTACTTTCCATTAATTGTTCAAGTAGCTTCAGATAAGATCTTGTACTTTGTACAGAAAGGAATGTGGATCCACAAGAGCATGCCTGACTCAGGACCAGCAGGTAAGGTGCTCAGGTAGGCAGAATTCCTTCTTCAGGATCCTGCTCCCCAGACTGTTCATTGATTTTGCAGTTATGGATTACAAAAAAATTGAAAGTCACAGCAGGAAAATAAAAGAAAGAAAACAGCTTGCCCAGTAGGCCACAGAGTCAAGCTTGCTCTGTCTTCCTTTGCTTTTGGTCCTTGAGGTTTAGATTCCTTTTCACACAGCATCTCAAAGTCAGCTGGAAATCACTCTGTGTCCTCACCCACATGAAACACAGTGTGACTGAATTCAGGATTTCAATCTCATAAAGACTCTGCAGCCCTGTGGATAATGGATAAAGGTACAGCACCACTGGACCAACAATTTTGAGAAACCCATACACGCCTGCACTTTGTGATGCCACCAGGAATTGCTGAAGCCTCATAACTGCATCTACACCTGTACAGGAATCTTATTAATCACATCAGATTACACCTGAACACAGAATCAGTTTTCTAATCTACTCAGGGAGAGTAAAAATACTGTTTGATTTAGGCTCTATAGAAGCAATTTTAATATAATTCTCTTTTTCCAAGTATATTGAGTAGAAAATTACAGCAGAGACTGCTTGCAGAATTAGGCAGCTGATTTTCAAAGATGTCTGAAGAGATTTGGACAAAAGCCTCACTTTTCCTTCTTTGAAAATCCATCTCATATCTTCAAAAAGTCCTTTCAACTGTATTAATCTTCTTGATTGCACCATGTGGTTAAAAAACCTGCTGCAGGAGCAGCTACTTTTATGGTAATGAGAAAAAGAAGATGGAAATGCAGACAGACTATTGAAACATCAGCACTGATGATTACAGGGAGCTTTAAAATAAACAAAAAGCATATAATGACAATTAAATGATTCAATAATTGGAACAATTATGCCTTGACAGTCAATGGATACAAAAGCAGAAGGTAAAAAGAAAGAACAGCACAGCTTTACAGCAGAGCAATAACAGCGTAAGATGCAAGTCAGACTGAATCTGTAGCACGTGGAGATTGGAAGTGACAGCAGCAGAACTCAGGTGCTTTCCATCTCAACACAGATATCATCAGAAAAACCTCTGTCCTTTTCACACAGGAAGAAGACAGAATTCCCCTTCTCTGGAGAAACACCACACATACCTTTGCATTCCTGCCCTCAGGGACGCAGAGTAGCGCCAGTCCGGATTGGGATGTTTTGGCTGTAGAAACAAAACCCAGGACAAAGCTGTTAGTGTCAGTACAACATGCTAAAAAAGCATCTGTATCTGGCAAATTTTTTCAGGAAAACCTATATGGATAGGCTCAATTTTTGTGAATTGCCAAATCTTCCTACAAATGTAAAGAAACTTTCAAATGGGCACACAGGGAGTGTCTCTGCAATAAATTTGTCTGCACACCAGGGGCTTTGGCTAGAGGTGATCTCTGTGGAACAACATTTAATGCTGCAAACTGGTGGAAAGTTATTTCATACATTCATCAACATTTTGGGCATTGGATAAGAAAACAACATCAGAAATCCAGAAAATATAGTTTGTTTACCTGATAAGGTGAGGAAACTTAGAACTCCTGCACTAAATATTATCTGCCTGAGGGTGTATAAATGTAACCCCCTGTGAGGGGGACGTGGGGCAGTGAGGTTTCTGCTGGAATTCAGTGTACTGCAGAGGACTGCAATAGATGGTATCAGATTTGCAGACTGCAGCAAGTCTTTTATTAAGGTCAGACATGTCCATAATACCAAAACCTATTAGATTCTCCATATTCATGAGAGGACATAAAAGGTAGAAGGGGAAAATAGCCAACAATACCCTTTGACCAACAAACTTCTGCATATGCTGATGTGCTGCAGCATGACTTGCTAAATAAGGAGATAATTAAGAAATCCTCAGTTGATCAGAAATTGCTCCAGAAAATAGTTTTTGCATTGTCAGGGGACTGTCACTGTAACTTTCAACTACACCCAATGAGTGCAAGCTCAGGTCCCTTAAAATTAAGCCCTGAGGACATACCAAGGTTATTTCTCAGGATACTGAAACCACTATTCTGTAGGTGATAGTGTAGTGAGTGCTTAAGTTCAGGCACTGGAATTCAAAGACAGAACTTATATCCAAAACTATAATGGACTACATTCATTCCTGATGTGTCTTGCACAGTGCCAATCACACAAATAATAAATGACAGTAATGGTTTAATTCTCTTCAAATTATTGGAGGCAGATCAGAAATGAATTTGACCCCATTACTTGAAAGAGAAAAAGAAAGTGTTGAATGTTCTGAATTATTTAAAGCCAACTCTGTCTTTCCTCTTGAGGTCTGGCATATGCTTTTCCCTGGATCAATAGGTTTTATTCAAACAAAAATGGAGCAATTACAACTTGCAGTATTGCTCTATCACCACATTCCCAGGTCCAGCATCACTCAAGACTGAGATGCTCTTGGATGATGCTCATTCTTTACGGTCTGAGTTACACAAAAGGGAGGAGGCTGCTGTTTGCAACCACACATTAAACATCTGTGCTAGCAATTTCCTTCCCATTTAGCCCCCTGTTCTCTGTCATGCTCAGGTTCTGCTGAGTTTAGCAGAAAGTGCTTTGATAAGAAGCCCATTATGCATGGTTCTAGTCTTTTCTGATTAATTCCATTTTGGCCCCAGTCCCAGGGATGTCAAAGCAACTCTAAAGTCAACCATGTAGTAAGAGTCAATGAAAGAAGATAGAGAACAACACACACTGATCTGATCCTCTCCTGAGTTTTCCTTTCTTGAGTAGGAAGGGTGCTGACACCAGAAGATTTGTCTTTTCTTCTGATGGGTTTTTTTTTATAGCAAGGGAACTGCAGGACTTTTGTTCTATTTTGCAATTTGAGAGGTGCAGGTTACTAACTTGTACAGGCAACGTGAGGAGGAGGAGGAATCTTACCACAGTCCCAGGCAAAACACAGATAAAGTGAGATCACATGAAAGCATGAAAAAGTCTGACACTAGTTGGGTAGGAGTGAGGAAAGAGGAAAAAGACCATTCACAAAACATAGGTTTTTGGTTTTCAGATGAGAGCTTTCCAACTCTTGGTTAGAAAACAAAAATCAATGTTCTGTTTGCAATGGGACATCAGATCTTAAATGAGTGATGGTGGCAGGAGAATCTCATTAGCTAGAAATTCAGCATTTATTCACTTCACATGCACAGACCAAGACTCCTCATGTCAATGTAAGAGAAATTAGGAGACTGGTATTTTCAAGGGTTACTATCCAGAAGCTCCAGCATTTTGTGACTATTCCCAAACAGTTCTTTCTTTCCTATGGCTCTTTAGGTAGGGCTGCAGTGCTGTTCCCAGAGGGGCAGAAGGAGGAAGGAGGGAACAGGATGAGAAAAATTTACTCTGGAGGTGGAACTATTGCCACAGTTAACCACCAGGGGTTGGGGTTTTTTAACTATGAAAAAAAATCAATATCTGTGACTTCTTTTTGAAGTCATTACAGGAAGAACCAGAGCATGAAGCAGTTGGGCAGCAGTTTGCCTTTGTGCAGATCTATTTTCACCCAGTTTTAGCATGTGCTTGCTGCTTGACTGGGTATTTTCAGAGCCCAGCAAGAGGCACATTTGTCCCACACTTCTGTTAGCACAGGTCAGTGTCCTCCATCTGACAAAATCAATGAAATTTCTATTTTGTCATCATTTCTGGCTTCTCCTTTTGTTCTGCTACAGGCTGTAATTCTTTCAGTTTCTCTGGCCATAAGAGAAAAGTTGTTTCAATACATCTCTAAATGAGACTGGACTAGAAAAGCAATAAAGCATGACCAGTAACAGAAGCTGAGCACAGCAGAAGCACCAAACCTATTCAATAAGATATCTCTCCCCAGCTCAGATGCAGCAGTGCTGCTTCTCAGAAATCCACCAGGAATTCACAGTCTACATGCTTGGGTTGATTTCTATCTCTGGTTAAGAACAGTCCACCTTCACCACAGCACTCCCTGAGACCTGCCACATGGCCAGGTGTGTCCCACAGCACAGTCACTGTGCCAGGACACCATCCCTAAGCAGAGCTGAGTCCTCAGGCAGTGCCAGGGGACAGGGGCTCTCAGTTGGCTCCTCTGAAAAGTCCCAGAGTCCCAGATTTGGCTGTGGGATGTGCAGTGTGTCCTAAACCAACACCAGCAGGACAAGGTACAGCTGGCCAGGAAGAGTGAGGACACAGAGGGAGCACAAAGAGGAATGCAGGCTCTGAAGGGGTCTGGATATTCCCAGTTGTAAATCCCCAGATTCCCACTATGTCACACAAAGCTGATGAAGACAATATTGTTCCTTTTACCTCCCCAGCTCATTACAAGACTGTTTATCACAATCCAGCACATTCTACTAGGTTGAAGGTAATTTTAGCTTCCCACTTCCCTCAGAGGTTTTTGGAAATCATGTAGCAAGTCCAGCAGTGCTGTCAGTAGGTAAAAGAAATCCCATGATCCAGCACAGAAGCAATCAACCATTCCCTTTCTTTCCCATCAGCTGCTTTTTCTGATTCAGTTAAAACACACATCATCATAGTGAGATGAGTCAAAATCCATCCAGGTGCCTACAGAATGGTTGTCACTGCACCAGGTGAACACCTCATGCCACCAGTTTGCTCCTGCTGCTTCTTCCAGGCACCAGGCTCACATTCTGCCATCCACATAACCACAGGCATTCATGTTACTACTCATAAAAAACCAGCCCCATTGGGAAGTCTGATAATGTGAATGTATAATGTAAAGCAGAGCCATCTTAGGAGCAAGAAAGCTCATGCAAAATGTCACACTGTTGTTTTCAAGTGGGTTAACTGAAGAATTGTTTCACTGGTTTGTGGAGAATAAATTTAGTTGAAAATGTTTTGTTATAAACATTTTCCTCAGCTCTCTTTTTTTCTCTAATACAGTTAGAATTTCTTCCTGGGGTAGGAGAAATTTCTAATTTTTAAAAATATTGTCCTGATCCCATATTCAATTCATCAATGTGAACACTACCTTTCACTACAGTGCTTGCTAGAACAAAACCTGCTTGAGGTAGAGAAGCATGAATCAAATATTTACAAACAGTTACCAGATGCTGAGACTCTTAAAAACATCCTGCTTCTTTCTGATTTCCACACAAATGCACAACAGAATGACATGAGGTATATTTATCAAATGTATCTGCTTTGAAGCAATAATAAAAGCCTCTAAGAACCTCTGACCACATAAGACTCTGCTTATTTTCCAGTGAGACAGTGCTGACAGGTGTGAGGAAACAGAGGCTTCTATTCCTGCTTTCCTTCTGTAAATGTTTAGAATTAACTTGCTGTGGAGAATAAACTATTTAAATACATGTTCATCCTTGAAGAAATCAAAAAGGAAATTGGAAGGGGGGTGTAATTAAAAAACCCAAAGTCTGGGAATGTTCATTTTCATTCCTAACTCTGAGAAAACTGAGGTGAAGGGAACAGACAAATGCTTCTGTAAAGTACATTTAATGAGTTCCAAGAGAAGGAAAACACCTCTGCTCAATCCTGGATGCAGATTTCTGCTGGCACAGCAGGAGCCTCAAACCAAGAGTTTGTGCCCTGAAGCAGAGAGCACAGTCCCTGCTTAGCTGAGCAGGTTCAGACACTGCCATTAAACAAAAGAACAAACATTTATAGTTAACCTTTTCAATGTCAGCAGGGCTGGAGAATTTCTTAAAGGCTTAAGTTCTTGAACTGAGATTGTAAGACATTCCACCATTAATACCTTTAAATCCTCTGAGAGAAATCTCCTGGACAGACTGCTACAAACAATGCTCTGGGGTTATTAGGTTTAGACACTTCAAAACACGCTTGCATTCAAAGCAGTATCAAAATGTGTTCAACTCAAGTGTTGCTTCCTTTTTTCCATGTGTTTAGCAACCTGGTTTTGAAGTGAAAAATATAGAGACAGAGACAGAAGCAGAGCAAACAGCTGTAAAACTTCAGTGGATCTCATGGGTCTTACCACCATCAATGTGCAGGGTTTTTTTCACTTTCTTTAAAAGTGTCCATAGAGCAACATGCTCTATTTCTGACCATCACATGAAACACTGTATTTTTTCATCCACAAGTGTCACCACACAAAAAAGGGTTCAAGAAAATGTATAATATAAAAGAGTTTATGTCTAGTTCTATCAAGTATCCTGAGTGCCCATTCCTCATTAAGAATGTACCAGGCTGCCTTCTGGGACA